AATACTAATATTTAAATCATAATAATTATTTATTTTTATTACAGTATTTGAATTAAGATTGTTATTCTAAAATTAATTTAAATCAATTTTATGATATTATAATTATAATAATAACAATGTAATCAATTTTAATTATATTAAATTAAAAGAATTATTTACTAATTGTAATTAATGGTTATTATTATTTATTTGTTTTTTTTTTACCTGAATCGATTTTTGCGGTTTATTTTCCGTAAAACTCGTCAGATGGCAGCACATATTCGAGTAGTTTAATGCATTCCAGCTTTTAAGAATTCGTGTTCCTCTGAAACTTATTCCTTTCTTTTTATTTGTATGAAACATGTATTTTCTTCCCCCTTTTTTTCTTTGAATATAAAAGTATTATATTATAGTAATGATTCTTCAAAGTTATATCTTAATGCATAGCATGCTTTGTGTGCAGAAATATTTTATGGTAACGTCCATCAAGTACACACGTACTGTAAACAAACACAAACAAAAATAATATACTAAATAAAATAAAATAATAAACACATTAATGGGAATTTTTATTTTATTAAAATGTTTCTAAACAAGAAATTTCACTTTTTTTTTCGGTTCAATTCTTTCCACGAATTACGGAAGACCCGGTAGATATTTCAAAAAAAAAAAAAAAAATCGGAATATACTGTATATATATATTTATAGAGTTTTGTGATTTCGTGTCACGTAATTTCATTAAAGCTGAGACAGTTAAAAAAAAAATTATACGTCGGTCGGAGTCTAATCACACTCCCAGTACATTGCCAATTTGTACAGTAGATTTGGGGCACACACACACAAAAAAATTACTTTGTATGTTGCATTGGAGGTAAATGCACTGTTGTGGGCACTTTACACATATCTGGGATTTGTTGCCTGTTGGAAAACATATTGTCACTCGGTTGAACAGTCCCTGCGGGTGATGGGGGTGGTGCCTTCAAGGGATATTGTTTGATGTGAAAGACAGATGTAGCTTCGTCTTTACTTATACACCTTACCTATAAAAAATAAAGTAATTAATAACTGTATGTATATAAGTTACGTATGTATATAAAAAAACACTGTAAATAACTATAATTATTTTTAATTTTTATCGATTTTTGTAAGTTGTAGAATGCTTCTAAATATATATAAACGATTCGGCATTGTTTCCGTTTCAGATGGTCACGATTTAATTGCTAATTACGTATGATTTATGCGAGAAAACTGATCGATAAAGATAGAAATGTTAAGGAACTGAATTATTATTCTAAATGACGGTTGAAGTTTGAAAAGTTATTTTATTCACTTCTGATTTTTACATTTAGTCGTTTGAAGAAAATTTTATTGGAACTTTTACTATTTTCTTACTGAAATTGCTTGGTGAGTGGTGAATAATTTTTTTTTTCTTTCCTTTAATGCATTTATATTTTTAGATATATTGCTATATTTTGTAGTTATTTTTAATCACTTTATTATTTAAAAAAAAATAATAATAATAATAAATGGTGTAATTATATCTTTCAGAAAAATTTAAAACACTTTTTAATGTATACTAATTTTATTCATTAATAAAAATATAATTACTTAACCGCTTATAGTAATTATGGCTGTAAATTTCGAGTAAATCTTCACATGTTAATTTTAGCTTATTACTAAACCTGAATTACCGAATTATTTAACTAACTTCAACTTACTACTAATCATCATTACACAATCTTTTGCTGAATGTCATCGTTTGGCTATTTAATAGTATATTAATAATCATTTATTTTAATGATAATCTAAAGATGCTTAACCGCACAATTTTAATAAGTTAAAATGAATAATAAATGATTCGGATGCAACCGAATCATTTTTCGCTGTTATTGTTGATGTTTTGTTGTATATTTGGAAATTTTTTCTTGAATTTGTAGACGGAAATTCGGAAATTTCAGAAAATGTCCCTGTTACCAAGATAAACAGTTAGAAATTTACTGTGACCTGTCTCACCTTAAACTGACAGCCTAGTAACAGGAATTTCTTAGTGCATTTTTCTGCAATAGCAGGAAAAAATCACTCCTATATCATATAACTCAGGAAAGTTTATAATCAATAAACCATAGCTTATCATTATTATTATATTAGTAAAATAATCATATAAACAGAATAATAAATCGTATATAAACAAATATACATTATAAAATTAATGTTCTAATTTATTATTTACCTACTTATATTGATGTAAAATTATCCTTATTAACATTATATTATTATTATTTTACATATTTTAATTTTAAAAAAATTTAAAAATACATATTATTTTTTTATTAATTATGTTTTTAGTATTAAATAAATAAACACTCGCTATTATTATTATTATTATTTATTCTTAGAATTTTATTATAAAGTAACAATAGAAAAGAATAAATAAACCTCTTCAAATAACAAAAAATCTATTGTTATTTGAAAACACCAGATAACAGAATGACTTCTGTTAAATGTATTTTTTCGTATAATTAAAATAAAATATATATTTGTGTGTATTATATTAATATTTCATTAAAATTTAATCGATATTTTAAAGCTTCGAGCATCATGATAAAGTTTTTTAATTAATAAATATTTATTAAAAAAAAACATAATATTTTATATAACTGATATTAAAATCAATAGTATACAAAGCTAATCTTGAAATTACAAGGCAGCTTACTGAGGGTAAATCATTCATTTTCTATATTTCTTTCGGTTAAAGAGAGAAAGCTATTTAGTGATTGATCGTACACAAAGTGATATTTTCTACACAAAAAAAATTAAGAAAAAAATATATATAATAGTAATGTATATTTACATGCTTTACACGACACTGTTTTTTTTTTTTTTTACTTTTAAATCACAACACTTACAGAGATTAATTTAGTTTTTACACACAAAAAAAACACGCATAAAAACCCCCTTCGATATAAGAAAGTTTCCTTGAAGGGAATATTTTTCAAATATTTATGTTTTTCTTGTTTTATGATCTAACTCTTAATTAGTACTACGTTGTTGAATAATATGCTTTCATTTAAATAAATTAATATATTTTAAGTATACAGGAGTATGATTTATTTAGTAAAAGAGAAGAGAGAGAGAGAGGGGGGGAGAAAAATCACTTTTTGCTTCTAGTAATGAAGAACACCGGATGAAAAAAAAAGAGAGAGAAAATACAATTTGTAATTTAAACTCCATTGCCCATTAATCCTTTCCTTGTTTTAAAAATAGAAAAGTTTATTATGAGAAAGTCCATTAGGAATTAGAAAAATTTCAAAAGAAAAAATAGAAATTTAAACATTAATCCGGAAAATATTATTTAAAAATATGTTTATATATATATATGTATATAATTTTTCTTTACTTATATAGAGCTTACTTTGTGTTAATTAAAACTGAAATCAGTTTAAATCTTTATAAATAATAATAATATAAATCATTTTTTATCATTATTTCTTTATTATATAAATAAAAAATAATTTTAAATTCCAATTCATTAAGCTTCATCCAAAGCTTTTTTTGGACTTTGGATGAAGCTTAATGAATTGGCATTTAAAATTATTTTTTATTTATATAAAAAATCGTTATTTCGTTATAAAAATCAATAATTTTACAATTTTCCACAAATTAAAAAAAATATATTAAAAAAAANCAATATTTATCAAAATATGAATATCACGCTTATCACTAACCATTACTTTACATAATGCCTGTAAAATCAATTAATTCTTTAAAATAAAACCGCAAATAATCTACAAAATTGTTTATTCATTAAATTTAATTTAATATTTAAATATGAATAATTATAAAACTTCCTCATATTTAAATATTGTAATGAGGTATGTAATTATAATGCTACTATAATATTAAATAATTGTATTTAATTAGAATAATTTTATAACTATTCTATATACTAATTTGTAAAATCAATTTTGTGTAAAGTTATCAGTATATTGCTTAATAATTAACAATAATACACAAATTTAAATTAGTTTACATATTCGTGGAGGTTAGAAGTGCAACACCTCTATGAAAGTTGGAGCGAATATCTTTGGATCCATCAATCTAAGACCAGTATTAAGAGTTTGGACCTTAACTCTTAACACTGTTGACCCAATTTAAGATACAAAAACGTACTACAACAATATGTTTTATAAATTTTAAATTACTGTATCAACAATATAAACTAACACACATACACAGAGAAAGAGAGAGAGAGAGCCCTTTTAGTGCCCACAGGGTGAAAAGAACAAAAAAAGAAAAGAGTCAATACAGTACAGGTACAGTGTGTGTGATGTGATACACGTGCAATACAGTACAGGTATAGTGTGATATACATGCTATATTTAGATAGCAGACAAATTATTAAAGTTTACAAAACGTCTTATATTCAATATGGTACTGTGTTTTATTATTTACTTTAAGTTATGAAAGTTGAGATAAATTACACAGACAAAATATGTGGGTATGGCCACTGACACTTGTGTCAGTAGAGTAACCAGGCCCCTTTATCCAAAATGAAAAAAAAATCAAGTAAACAAGCCTTACATAAAAAATATATTTCATTGTGTCAAATGCACTTATACACATGTATATACAATAAGTTTACTCTTCATCCACAGCTGTAGTGGTTACATCCATAAGGTATAGGATATCCGCATGGTATAGGTTTTCACATTCTACTTCTGGCACCCTTCTAATATCATAGTTACACTACTGGTCTGTGTGTATATTTATGATAACAAATGATAAAATATATACGTTTTATTAATTTATTTTATGTATTTATGACTTAATAAACATGTTTTTAAATTTCTTTACATTTTCTAGTTTACTCACGTCTACAAATTTTCCTCAGTAGGCCGGCGAAAAACTCAAAAAATTCCATTTAATTATTATTAATAGTAAATTCGCGAATAATCAAATCCGCAAGTTCGATTGTATACAGAATCTACATATTCTATAATTGTAAATTTACTAAAATTATAATTAATAATTCCCATAAATATGTAAATAATTATAATAAATTATTCCTATTGAGTTTAACATTCTACTACTTAATATAAGGTAAAAGTAAATTATTATAATGTAAAAATATATGATTTAACCGATTACTGAGTTATATATCTATATATATGTGCGGTATATATTATAAAGAAATACGTTTAAAGCAGATCGTTTTTAAAAATAGAAATTCTAACCTCGATTTGTAAAAATCCTGTTATCGCAACATCCAATATAAAGAATCGAAATTAAAGTACATAAAAGTCTATCTTTATGAGAATGGAACAAAATGTATTAGAATGGATCGAAATTTTTATCTTTTTCCATTGATGATAACAGTTGAACATAAATTTTCAAATGATAAAATCACTTTTCGAAAGAATAAAATGTTACAATCAAATAATATTGATTAAAGTTTGGAAGTATAAAATGAGATTTTGCGACCGTAAAAACGACCATTTATCTATTATATTTTAGACAGAAAAATTCTTACTGAGATCATTTACTAGATTTAATTCTAATATTTATGAAAATATTCTATCTTTTGATTATAACTCTTTCTCCCTTTTTTTCGGCTATAGTTTTCGGATGTATATATATTTAGCCTATATTGAATGAGACTCGGTAGAATGACTGAAAACTGGGCATTATGACAAATATGACGCCAGAATATCCAGAGAAGAGGAAACGTGTCCAATTAACAAGAACATCTTTTGCAGTTATGATGGCGATGACAACATTAACCTCAGTGGCGGATTTCAGCGTAAGTAAATTAACTTGATGCATCGCATGATTTATTGCAAGTAATAAAGCGTCTTCCTTTCTGACAACTCTTATCAAGCCAGCAACTACCTTAATGTAGGGTTGTAAAACTTATTAAAACAATATTCTCTTACAGTATCAAATTAACTTTTCTTAACTCGCTACCCCGTTATAACGCGCTCTTAACAAAGAAGATGTCGTTAATTTTTGAGCGCTTGAATATCTTAAAAGATTATTGGTTAGTTTAAAATTTGAATTGACTAATCAACGCTAAACATTTTTTTAACGGTTAAATTAAATATCTTAAAGCTTATTGGTTAATTTTAAATTTGAATTAACTAATCAACACGAAAGATTGTATACAAGAAAGAAGTTTTTATTTACATTAAAAAAACAAATATTAAAAAAATATATATATTACTTTAGTGGATTTNTTTAAATTTCAATTATTAAAAATAAACACGTCTCACCATCTATCGACGAAGAATGGTACTAATGTTAACCTTGTATTATTATTATTATTATTATTATTTTCATAAAATATTTTCGAATTTAATCGCAATAACGAAAATATTTAACTTTTAAATAGTTTATTATCGTGCTAAACTGTTGTTGTTAACCAAAATTCTATCCTGAATTTTCTTTATTAAACAAGCATAACATTCAACGTGACTAACCAAGAGTAAATTTAATAGTTTCATTAATTACTTCGCAGCACTTTAACATAAACATGTAGATAATAAGTATGAATAATTATGTCTTCTAAAAATTTCCTCAAGAAAATATTTAATAGCTTAATATCAAGCGTATTAAAAGATTTCTATAGTGTAAGAGGAGTTGAGAGACACTTTAAAATGAAAAAAAAAATCATAAAAGTATTCACTATAAATCTTAATTTTATATAAAAACATTATTTAAAACGCGTTTGTGTTTTCAACTCGGCATAAATTGTTTTTTATATCTACTAATGGTATTTTAACATTTTATTACATTCTCTTCAACATCAACCATTCCATTCATTAAATCAAATATCACTTTACATCAAAACAGAAGGGAAGAAGCGGAAAAAACCGATAAAACTTTCAAATTAAATACTTAAATATTATAATTAAAAATCGATATTTTTTAAAAAATATATATATATTTAAAAAAATCAATTTTATAAGTAATTTAACAGCAATTTAATTTTAAAAAATGCTATTCTTTCGCATGAATTTTCTTATATAAAATTAAGCATTAACATCATTATAATATCTNTCCAATTGAAAAGTTTCATTTAAATAAATAAAATATTTTTGAATTTATAATAGTAAAAGAATTTAAAAATTAACTAAATGGGATAAAACTTTGTTTAAATATAAAAATTTAATTTCTGTTAAAATTTATCAAATTGGACGAAATTCAAAATTCAAGTTATATTCTAGAAAAGTTTCTTTACTTCTATACTCGGGTGTTTTTCCAATAATTAACTTAGCTGTAGTCATATGGGAACTGGAAAGGATTGAAAGTAAGAAGGAGAAAAAGAAGAAGAAAAATCTTAAAAAAAAAGAAAAAAGAAAAATTCGGTTTCGATTTTCCTAAGATTGTTTCTAAGGTTTTAAAATCTGAAAACATGTTGAAAACTTATAGATAAAAAGAAATGTCTACACGTGTACTGTGAATATTCTTCGAAGATTATGATTCTTTTTTGTTATTAAATCGTATCGACAAGCCGAAAAATACACAAAAAATAATCAAGTAATATTATCACACTTTTATGATCTGATATACAGTATGATATTTCAGACCAATCTCTTTCGATTTTTGAAACTGTAAGAGACATATTCACTTCAATCTCGTTCGGGAATGAAAAATAAAAAATAAAAAAAGGAAGAAGAAGAAGAAGAATAAAAAAAAGATTTTCTTGTAAAGAAATGTGTAACAAGTGTGAAGATTTCGCAATATTGCCAGTTCGGATGAAGTACCAATTCAGTTTTATATATTTGAAAAATTTTCTTCTGAATGCTCAAAATATCAGTTGCCATGAAAACAGCAATACTACCTTTTGTAATACTCAAAATAAAAGATTCCATTTTTATGTATTTTTATAGGGATTGAAAATAGGAGATGTTATAATCAATTTCGAAAATTGAATTTTGTTTTCTTTTTTAATTTAAAAATATAAGTTCTTGTGAACAGCAGTTTGGGCCCCCCTTNAATTAATATTAAAATTTCAAAAATTTATTTTAACGTATGTATAGATAAATATAATATTTAAATTCAAACTATCTAATAAAGAGTTGCATTATATTAAGATGATATCTTATTGGGGAATTTGAATTTGAACGAACCAATAGCAATCAAGTATTCGTTATAAACAAAAGAACATGCTACAGCTCTTTGTTTTACCTGAAATTTTTTCTGTTCTTTCTTTTTTTTTCTTTTTTACTGAGTAACAAACCTCATTTTTTATTTACAACTTTAGCTTTTCTAATAAACGAGTTCATTTGTAACGTCAATGTTGTACTTAAAGTTTAAGTCGGTAGTCACTTGAAGGATTTTCAAGCCTATTTAAAACAAATTTCCCATATCAAGTTGGAAACTCTTCACAACAGAGAATATGCGTTGAAGCAATTACAGTACCGCTATCAACAGCTTCATCAATCAAAAAGACAAATGATGTGACCAGAGAAATAAGTGATGCGGGGCAAACATCCAAGACACAAGATGTCTGCTACTTTGACAGAATGAATGATAAAACTTTCAAAATACAAGACATTACAGTATTTAGGGGAAATTTAAAAATGTCGTATATGATCCATGCCATATTGGAAATATCTATTTTTGTTTTTAATTATATCTCTCCCAAACGCAATTTTTACATGAAATATTATTCGAGGTAGTAAATCATTCTATCTGGAAGGCAAATTACGTCTCTGCTTTTTTTTAATGCAGATTATATTTCTTTAGAAACATTTATAAATATAAAACTCGTTATAAGAACTAGCGACAAACCAGATCTATTTAATTATGTTAAAATTTGCTAAAGGCTATTATTTTCTTTTGTTTAATGTAAGAAAATCATGACGAGAATTAAAGAAAGAAAAGGTAAATCTACTTAAACATTAAAACAATCAATGAGCGATTGTTTCAGTAAAGTTTTAAAAAGTTTATTTACAAAAATGTTCCTTGATGTTTAATGTTAACATAAAATATATTTCAGGTTTTAATATTTTAACAAACTTAAATTATTAAATTCCTGCAATTTATTCGACTAAAAGATGTATTTATATTTTAAAATACAAACAATTCTTGTTGTAGAATAGGAAAAATTGTTTTATTTACTCATCGATTTGGAAGTTTAAATATTCTAGAGACTTGACCCCGTTTTAAAACAATTTTTAGCAATAAATACTTAGCGAAGTATTTGAAAGTCGTTATTCTGCTTTCGAACAGAAATCATTAAACATTTTCGGAATTTTGAAAGATGTTAGCATAAGAAGATTAGTTCGTGTTTGAAGTGTGTTTGACACGCATAATAGCCTTAAAAGGGGAATATTGAATTACTTGGTAGAAATCGAAACCCGTTAACATTGCTGAACATCCTATTGATTTCCATTTACTTTGTCCTTCACACAATTGTATTATTATCGAATGTCTAAATTCTTGAAATACACGTCGTTTATTATTTTTAAGTATATTATCAAAATAAATAAGAATTCTCTTACCATACAGTTACGTTTCTTCAAGGAAGACTTCTTATCCCTTTGGTAGTAGATTCCAGAAAAGATGAGAACATTCAGAATAAGTAAAGAACAACCGACTGCAATTGTGACACTCAGTGCTGTCGAATAACCACTAGAAGGTAATGCCATCGGCACTGAAGTGTTGGTCAGTTCTTCCATTTTTATAGTGGTATCAGAAATTTCAGGAAGTTGAGTGAAATTTAAACCAATAGTAGAAGTTTCTAGAGTAGAATCAGTCAAACTAGACCCTGTAGAAGTAGTAGTCTCAGTTATGATTGTAGACGAATCCACGACTTCTGTCTCCGCCAAATGATGATGATGTGGAGGAACTGAACCTTCTCCAGGACGATGAAGACCGGGAATAAGATGCAGCCAAAATGAAAGTCGATGAGCGTGATAATGATCTCGAATCTTTAGTTTCATACCTGAAAATCAGATTTGTAGTTTATTATGGGATTTCCAGTTAGGAAAATTAATCTTTTATTTTATCGATTATAAACAAATAAGTCTTTAAGTTCGTACGAATAGGTAAATTTGAGAGTAAATTCGATTAATAGCTAGACAAATTTAATTAATTTTCTAATTAATTCGTCACTATGTCAATTCTGTAAATCTAATTCTATATGGTACAATATAAACGGTCAGATTTGCATTTGTCGAAATTCCATAAAATGAATTTTCATCGTTTCGCCATCAGATACGATCCGAGAAATTTTATTTCATTTCTTCCAAATTTAAATGTCGTTTATTTTATTTCAATTTGATCAATTTTACAGATACATTTAACTATTCAACTCCTGTATTTAACTTTTGCAGCTTGTGACATAAATTTTCCTGCTAACTTAACTGAGAGTAATAAGTGTAAAATATATATATAAAACTTTCGGTAAATATTCATGAAATTATTAGATTTATACGCCATTTTCTTAAACATAATAAAATTAAATTGAAACAGGCAAAAGAGAAACATTAAAAGAAGAAAATACGAAACAAAAGTTTAATTCAAATTCGAAAATCTAAACTATTTTTAACGATCTTTTCTTCGTTTTTAAATTCTTGCCTTACACACTTTAGTATTTACGGTCATCATTTAATATAAATCATACTTTTGAGTCATTTAAGAACTTTAACTGTTAGAAATATAATAGAAATGTTGGTTTGGCACATTAATCAGTTGCAAACATCCCATTTAGCTGCATAATTATGCGATAATTTTCAACTCAGATGAACAACGAATCTACATTCAAGCTTATTGACCAATATTTCTTTTGAAACTTGTCCTTTATGGAAGTATTTGGTGGAGATAGGAAACTACAACTGGGCTGTCTTACCAACTTACCATTCATCTTACTCGTCGTTCGTCTATAGTGATTGGTATAGCCATCAAGAGAGCTATTTACTACCTTTATCAATGGTTTTACCTCCATTATACATTTCAAAGTTAAATTAACAATTTAAATTTAAATTTTGCGGAGTACATCCGGCCATTTTGGGAAATTTCTTTTTCTTAAAACAATGAAATGATAATTATTTTCATACAATTTACCTTTAAACATCAATTAAATTTCTTTAAAAAAATGTTTAAAAAATTAAAATCTAATCTTNAAAAATGTTCTAAAAAAATAAATAAATAAAAAGCATTTATCTTTGGAGTTTTGAATCAAATTCGAAAGATCTCATATTTCAAAATATATGGACAAGTTCAAGTTGGATTTTTACAAAGTTTTCTTATCCTACAAGTGAAATTCTCCTCTAACATTTTCAACCCCTCTGGATCATTCTGCATCATACTTTATTGTGTTGTAAATCTAGCACTATAAAAAAAGAGGTATCACATCCGACTGATACCGTTTAGAGGACTAGAATCTAAAATATTATTCTAGGAAAGGAGAGGATAAGTATATATACATGTGCATATCCTAATAAGCGAGCTTTAATGAATATAAGTGTGTCGATTTTCACGCATTAAAATGATATCGGCAACGAGTGATATAGTTACAATAATTCCATCACTCGTGTTACATCGGATATAAATTTTCAATTAAATTTAAAAATGAAATTATTAAGTTTTACAGATAAAAAAAAAATAAGTTTTTGTAAGTAAAGTTTACTCTTTATAACCGTGTATAATCCGTAGCAGGATGTAATGTCCCATTCAATATAATCATCTCGTAAGAAACCTTGGATGTTATAATGGTGCTTTCTGAGAGATTTTACGGATCATTTGCCAGTTTGGTTTTCAACAGCTTTTCACGGTTCTCTTAGATCAGAAACGTCAGCTGGATAAATCAAAAGTTAGGAACAAGCAAAGAATGTGTTGTAATTTCTGTTCGTTCCTGAAGGATTACGTGTATCTTTATTCACTGGTTTAACTGTAAATCCTTGCACAACTCTAAAATCCTTCTTCAGAAAACTATCTTTATATAATATATTCTAGCATCTCTATTTCAGATTTTCTTAACTGCTACTTTATTCTTGAATTGTTATCGATTCCCTTCTCTTTAATTGAATTTTAGGTGTACTCTGATGAACTTCTTTTTTCTGTATTTTTATAAAAGAGATAATTGAATTATCGCTTATCTCTACGGTGCCTTAGTGGACACATTGTCCTTTACCTTCTTTAACATTCTACAGACTTTTGGGCACACTATCTAAAAATTTTCGCAAAAGTTTGCTTTCAAGCTATGAAAATTACACAAAAATTGCTTTTTTTAATCCCTAGACAATTTTAATCTATGGCAAATATTCACTTAATAAAAACTGAATTTACAACTACATTATAATACATACAATTATCTTATATTTACATAAAGGTGAAAAACATTCTTCACTTCTCTTGTATACACAGAACTAAAGAACATTACAAATCGAAGAAATCCAATTTATTTTCATAATGATATTCATTAAGAAAAATTCTATTAACTGACACGAGATAGATTGTTAGGAAATAACTTAGCCAGATTATATATTAAAAATAATAAACGAGAATTAATTTTTCTATTTTTGAAAAATCGATCATAAACAATTGTCGAAGAGTATCATTCTCAAACATTTCTAACAATCGAATAAGTGGCCATTTTATAAATAATAAAGTCGAGTATGTAAACAAAAGAAAAGATACAAACAAAACTAATTTAATTTGTTAAAGCAAATAAGATCTATAGCATTTGTTTTCAATAGACTTTTATCTAATTGATGTGATAAATTTAAAAGAATCAAAAGAACTCGTGTTTAATCTTAAATTTTCGGTAGAATTAAAGCGGATGTAATAAAAGCTAACTTCTTTGGTAAATGTACTAGACATCTCCTAACAGCATCTATCATTTCTACAGTTTAATAATGGTTCAGGAGTGTCAGTATTCGCCCAATAAGTTGATTACGGGTGAGAATCCATTGACTACTCTTCATCCTAACTGTCTAGTTTACCTTCAAACAATTCAAATACAATGAGGTGATTCTAATGACCAGTCGCTTTGGTCATGAGAAATAGTTGTAATAAATTTTTATACAAACAAACTGTACTTAAACAAACGGTTTAGGTTGCGCTAGAGAGTGTTTTAGATCGATATATTTATTAGAAAATTAAAGATTTGTTCGTGTGGACATCACAAGAATGGTAAAGATGGCAAATCCACAAACAGTAAATTTATTAATCTTTATCACGTTAATGCAATGTTATCGAATTATATAATCATTTGTTTATTATTTATTTATTTTTAACCTTTTAATTTACTAAAGTATATTTTGATTAATATGTAGAAAATTAAAACGTTTCTGCTTAATCAACTACACTGAGGTTCGTTTATTTGAATACGATAAACATTAATAATTTAAATCGCTCGGATTTACACGAAATTATTCAAATATTTCTGTAGATACAACGGAATTATACATTTCAAAAAGATTAGCAAATAATAAAATAGAAGCCTTTAAACTTACTAAAATTGCTGATTATATTCTTCCTGTTTATATTGCTAATGCAAAACCGGATATCTTAACCTATATTTTCGCATATCTACTGGGTCTATTATATAATTTTCTATATTGTAAAACCGAAAAACATTTCGAAATTTGCATGTTTAAAAACATAAGAAAAAAGGGAGGTTTTTTTTACAAAGATATGTTTTTTCCCCTACTTTTTCCAAACCATAATAATCTGTAAGAGCTGAACATACGAATAAAAAACCATAAACAGAAGAGAATATTCTGGAGTTACTTTCAAAAAAATTCCTCCATTAACGACAATCCTTAATGTGTTTTGGGTTCCATTTTAAGTCTATTATTTATTTTTCCTTCGAAATCTATAAAGTAAAAATAATCTTTTTTTTTCTTTTCATATGAAGACATTAAACACATCGATGCAGACCTCTTTATATATCTAACGCCTTTACATACGTTTATTAAGGATTAAGAGAGACAATTTAGAATAAAAAAATTATTTTAAATTATCATTTTCCTCCTACTATTTAAATTCATAAGAAAAAAAGATTGTATTTAGCAATAAACTAGTTATTGTTGTAAGATAACAGATTAAAATTTAATTCGTGAATTCTTTGACGAGTCTCTAACGTTTAATTCTTCCAATATTTAATAGGTTATTCAACACTATTAGCTATAAATGTAACAAACCATTATTCTATTTTGATAGCTTAGCAATTAAACGGTAACAATATCGTCTTTAAAGCTCAAATTAGCCATTTATTTGACACTTTTCCTATTTAACACTTGATTAAGGAATATTCTCTTGACTGTTTATAAATAATTTCAATAAAATTCTTCGATTTTATTCCCTTAATAGTTAATAAATCGCTTAAATCACAATACCAAATTAAAAGAAATGGTCATATATTGCCCTTAAAGGTTAATGTAGGATATGGCTCATAATTTCTAATCCTTTGTAGAAATTATCATTAGCAACTCCAATTATATATACATATAAGGCCTATGTATATATATAAACTGTATGCATATATATATATATATAGTCGCATCATTAGTACTAAGTACATTAATGATATTATAGCATTATTAAAATGGTTAATGCACCGGTACCGCTTACAACTTAGTTGTTAATTTGTAATATCTCTATCAACAATTGGTAATGTTGGTGCTGGGAATTTAACTTCATCATAAAAATTATTAATGTAAGATTGGAATAGTAGGCTATTTACTTGCTAACTGTATTTATTATATATAAAACACTGGCTAATTATAGTACAGTACGTCTGACAATAAAATACGTAGTGATATCATAAAACAATATTGAATTGTTGTATTCATTTATAATGGATTTTTCTTTATGCATTTATCGCAGATATTCTCATTTGAAACGTGAAACTTCCGGTATTTTATTTAAGTGTAAGCGCTAGAAACATCTTCATTTCTGTCCTTTTACACTATTGATATGATTTTCATTCCTTTTTAT